AGGCACTGGTCCCCTGATATTATAACAGAGCTGGATATTGCAACTTTTGATTGCAGCTGGGCTTGTTTTTTTCCTTGTCATATACATCTTTCTTGATCTCATCTTCAACTGTTACATATTGGGATTGTGAAGAACTTAAATACCAGTTTCCTGTAGCTGGTGGTAGAATGATCCAATAGCATCTGCTTAAAGAGATCTGTTGGAGTCTGTATGTATTTATAAAGGAAGGGACCACAATCACTGTAGGCGCAGAACAGCAGTGCTATAGTAACCCAAAATGCTAGTTACTGCAGTCGGCCCACATACTCACATGTTTGTGAGATACGAAAGCTGTGTAATTTGAGATTTAGACAAGAGTGGGGATTTCTACATACTGGACTTTCACAGGCAGATATGTCGACTTTCTGGGGAAGGTGCCTCTTCCTGCCCTGCAGATTGCACATGCTTGTGTAACAGACATGAAAAAAACATGAGAGCCTTCTCTGGCGATGAAACGTGCCTCTCTGCCTCATGGGTAGTTTGGTAATTTTTTTACACATCTTCAGTTTTGAATAGCTTTAATTCTTAATCGTGTTCACTGTGAAAACAAGCGGGAAAATTGCTTTGCGGGAGCTCTCTCCATTTAATACTGAAGTTAAGAGTCTAATTCGAGTGGTTTCCCAAAGTTTTGAATTCTAGTATTTTTATGGCACTCTTTCTACTTTTCACCTTTTGGTCTGCCAGAGCATTGAATGTGTCCTACAACCTGCTCCCTCCCATTTTCTTTCCAAGGGCCCCTCAAGCAGCAGTATGAACACATGGTCATGCAGTGAGGTCACACATGGACGTTTCAAGATGTGTCAAGATGTATGTATGTATGTAACGGGAGAAGCTGTGGCATACAAGCCACAGGAGCTCATCTGGCAGAAAGGCTGGGCAGCACTGCACTATTTGCTCTGGTGGTGCTAAAACCTGTCATGCTCTTCAGATATAGGCCTTTAGCTGTTTTGTGTAGCTTCCAACCTACTTTTTAAAGGGACAACAGAACGAAGGTGAACAAAAGCTCCTTCAGGTCCTTGGCTCCTGTAGTTGCATATGCACATTTCTATACTTCTGGTCCTGAGACCAGAAACTTGGTCCTGGAGTAACTTTGCTTCTGAATCTGTGGAACGAAAACTATGTTTTGTAATGCATAGACACATTGGGGCAGAATTAATGTGTTTTGAATTGTTGTTCTGAATAACTCCACTATGGTGCTAGTAGATGAGTTTTGGTCAATGTGCTGTTTTCAAAGTTACAGCTTCTACGTTGCAACCAAAAAAAGGAGGGATCTTGAGAGAGGGGTAGAATGCTGAAATGAGATGATATCCAAAACTCTAGATTTTTTGCTTCTGGCAGGCCTGTCCAGGCTGCACCCACTCTAGATGGTATATAAGCCCCCAACCAGCACAGGTGGGGAATTATTCAGTGCATTTATTTTCCTGCGCAGCCTGGTTTCTTGGTGCTTTTTCTGTGACTCTTCTGCCAAGATTTCCTTGGTGGTGGATCCTTCTGCCCAGTTAGAGGAAGGGATAGGAAGCTGTTTCAGATTTTAGATGGCAAATGATGTATGACCGCTACCCTGGGATGGGCTTTCTAGAAATAGTGGCATGCTGTGACAGCAGTTTTCTCATGGCTCCTCCCCTCCACCACCACCTTTCCAGTTGCATAGATAAGCTTTCGTAAATGCAATCTGATTCGGTGTTGTCTGCTGAGTCTGTAGAAAACCAACTTAAAATAATAATAGCTTTAAGAGATTGGCATTGCCTCTCTAAGGACTAAAAATTTAGGTTTAAATATTGTCATTGTTACTATCTTCGCTGCTGGGCATGGAAACAGAAATGGGTCTGGGAGCTTTAGAGAATATCTGGGGCCGAGATCATTGCATCACTCTTCCTCAACAAATCCCACTGGGGGTTGGAGAGGGCCAAGGAACTGACAAACTCTCTGATTGATTGTGTCATTATTGTCTGAGAATCTCTGAGGTCATAAATGCAACTCTTGCATCCCTGTGATGTCACAGTGCCTCCAGGCTGGTGTAACTTTACTGTCGCACAATGAAGGTTTTGGTGAGTGAGCCTTGCTCTGTGGGGAGCGACAGTGGGGAGAACCTCTCAGCAGTGGCTTTGGGCAGAGGGAGATGGTGGCCAAAGAGCATATCTGTCCTGTAGCTGCTGTCCTGTGTGACACGAGTTATCCAGGCTCAGAATGCTTTGGGTGAGGGGACTGAGGATGCAGCATGCCCCAGGTTGTGGGGAAAGGCTGCCTCTTCTCCTGGAAGAGAGCTGCCTGCCAGGAAGCCTGTTGATGAGGGAAGCTTAATTTACTGTTGTCTGTGCTGTGCTGGCCAAAGTGGTTGAGTCTCTGGGGCTGTCGGGCAGACCCAGTTTCAGCAGCATAGGCGTTTTGGTTGGAGTCAGCAGGTGGTCTGTGAATACTGCAGTGGGAAAGCTTACTCTCTAAGGGCTTTGCTTCTTGCCATTGAAGTCCGGCATGGATTTCCTGACTCCTAGCAGCAGAGGAGATCCTGCTGGACAGGGACAGCTCATGGTTGTCTCTGCTCTGCCTGATCGCTCATTTCAAAAGTTTTGAACGTGATGCTTTACTGATATGAGAATTGCAGTTGAAGATGTTGAAATGGGACTGGGTTCAGAAGTCATTAGGGTGAGGGAAGCACGTGCAGACAAACACACAGACCATGACTTTTGAGGACCCCCTTTCCCTAGAAACCAAGCTGAAAATGTTAACGGCAGAGACCTGTTCCCCACTTTTGCATATATTTTCTGTCCTGGGTGATGCTGTTTGCTCCTGTTGCTCCTGGATCTGTGCAGCCATTTTGATCATAGGCTCACCTCTGAGTTGGAGAGTGAGGAGACAATGATTTTTCCTCCTATCCCTTCTGTCCCCCCCCCCTTCCCTGGTGAGCTGCTCAGAGAGCTAGTTCAGCTTAGTCACAGCTCCTTCGAACAGGTGTGATGGCCAGTACAAGCTCTTAATGATCCTGCAGTTCCCAGCGTGTCTTTGACAGCTTTCATTCATTTCTCTCCTGACTGGAGTACAGGTACAGCAATGTCCCAATCTGCCTTTCGGCACTTTCCCTGCTTCTAATTACGTGGGCTTGGATTATTGCTCGATTCACCTCAGTGCTGACAGGCCTGATTCCACCTCAGTCTGGAAAGAGCAGGGATGCTCCTGGAAGGATGTGAGTAGGCCATGGTCTCTGCTGGTGCAAATCAGCTCCTCCAGAGGTAGTGGCCATACATGAGCAGAGGAAATCCAGAAATGGTGCGCTTGCTCCCTGCTGGGTCGCAAGGTAAGTGGGATCAGCTGGGGAAGTGCTGAGCACCTTTTCCTCTCATTAAGGCAAATGGCAGTTGAGGGTGCTCTATGCTAGGCAGTGTTGGACCATCACTCCTTGTTCAGTTGGAGCCCCACGTTGTAATATATAAGCCCTCTTTTCCCCCTCTTCCCTCAAAATGTTGAAAAAAACAGCAATGACCATTTGATTTCAGAGCAACCATGACGTTTAATAACATTTTGTGTGGACACAGCACCTTTCAACCATGGTTCTCCAAGCTCTCCACAAGCCAGCTATACTGGCTTGAATTAATGACTTTATGAGTTTCCAGTGGAAGGCTCTGCCATTTCCCCCACCTTTCAGTGTGACTGGTGCCACACACAAGTCAGCAACTTGTATGTGCAATAAGGGCTTGGATTTGTTTTCTTGAATGTGAGCAGTGAGTGCCTGACCTTGTAGCAGGGGAGGACGCATCTCTCCATTTAGGCTATCATCTGTTGTTTTTCTTCTCTCTTGAGTTCATCCTGCAAGGTGCTGTGTGCCTCCAGCTTTGAATGAAACCAATGACTGCAAAGGCTTCTGAGTTTGATCCAGTGTCTCTGCTCTTTGTCCTCTCTCTATGCATGGAGCAGGATTCTGGCTGCTTCTCTGAGGACTGATGTACTCAGCACACATGGAATGAATTGGGAGATGCTGATGCCTCAGCACCAACTCTGTCCCTCCTTTGGAATCATCAGGGTCATCAGAAAGACAGGAAACATTTTTGGAAGACGGTTGATGGGTCTCCAGGTGGTCAGTGTCAATCACAATTAGTTTTGTTTTGTACTTAATTATTTTCTTGATCTTTGGCATCAGTGTTGCATTCAGTGGGCCTTTGCTCCAGGCTTGTTCTCAGCAGCATGCTCCCAAGCATGACCCTGCTGCAGCAAGTGGAAGGTGAAAGCAAACAAAAGTCGCCTCTTGACACGAGCTTCCTGGTGAGAACACAGATGGTTTCTAAGTGTTGGCTCTTGGCTCTGCCAAGAGGCTCAGGTGCTACTTTTGCTGGAGTCAAGTGTGTCCAGCAGCCTATTTTGGCGAATGTTTCTTCCAACCATGTTCCCAGGATCCTGTGACATTTCCAAAGTGGAGACTGAACTGTTCCCTCTTGCTCTGAGGCAAGCTGCCTGTTATCTTGCCCAGGCTCCGATGTGTGTTGCCCAGGTCTGTTTTCCCAGTCTTCAAGTCCTCAGTCCTGCACCTTGTGACTCCCCTGATGCTGGGCACTGCTTAGCTGAGATTGGCAAGAAACTAGGTGGCCAGCATCCTGTCTGTGTAACTCTGGTGGCATCATCTGCTGAGCCCCAGTGTGAAGGGGGAACACTGGTGACACTTCCTGATGTGCTCTGCCTCACCTCTGTCCTCTTCCCTGCTTTCTT